CAAATTTTTAATTACTAAATTCAGTATAGTAAGGGTTTTTTTATATTTAAAAATCTGTCTGACACTGAAAATCCGTTATATTGTAAAATTCGTTATATCAAAATTCATTGTAGAAAGAGTTGACTGTACATTTTTTTGCGATAAAACAAAATACATTAGGCTACTCAAAGCTCAACCAAATTATAAAATTCTCTTTCTTCGCCCTTAATAATTCGGCAAATCGACTTTGGTTAGCATGCTCTCTGCTTACTATGATGTTCACATTAAGAACAACTTTTAGTCGATATTTGGAGGCCTCGACATTGGAAAAAATCCTACATGCTAGACCAACAAACATCTAGTTCTACTTTTTGACCTATCAAGTATCAAAATGGAAACATGCATATTATGAGGAATAGTTTCAACCAAGCAATTAACGAAAAGCTGAAATTCTTTATCAAAAAATACACAGAAGAGTTGGATATCCAGATATCAAAGAATTAATTGATGAGACTGCATCTGTATCTTTTTTAAGGATTTTTGTAGGTTTCTAGCTATCTCTGTTTTGTTGCGTGTGCTAGAATATGTTATCTAATGCATTCTTATTTTTATTAAGAATCTTGTTAATAATTGAGTAAAAAGTCTCTTTATTGCAGTAGATGAATATGATCATCCTAAAAATCGCTATCTACAAAATGGCAGTATTAGACTATGGAATCTCACTTTACGTGAATACTTTGTCTCTCTTGAGAATTTTTTCGATATAAACATTTTTTCTACCCTCAAACGGGGCTGTGGAGGAGAATTCAATAGTGTGATATATAAGTTGTTCATAACTAGCATTACTTTAATGTTTTAACGCGAACTGAGTTCAATTGCCAATTTTAGAAATATATCGATCAATATTCAATAGTTTGGCATTTGCAGCTTTTTTGAAAAAGACATTCAGGGCTTAGTCGTAAGCTACCTTACCTTAGATAATGAGAATACGGAAGTCTTCCTAAATACTTTAAAGCAAATTTGCAATGGATATTTGTTTTGCAAACTGGGAGTTGACAACATCGAATCAGTTTTCAATCCCCTAATAGTTTTTAATGCTCTTAAGCAGTACAATGATCTGGAATACCTTTATGATATTCTAAGTAACTTATCTGATATAACTCACTTCTTAGAACAATTGCTAGGCAGAACCTAATTAAATATAAAAATCTAATTTTTTTCTAAGCAAATGCACCTATAGAAGTAGACTTTAAGCTCAATCTTTCATTTTCTGACCTTCTTACCTTTTCAGTCATAGGACATGAAGTAGGCTGCTGTAGCATTGCCTATTCACTGTTATATTACCTAGGTGTGCTCACATATAATCTAAATGACAGATTAATAGTACTGAATGGAACTGTACAGGACATTGTATATATTAACCTTTTTTTTCTATTTCTAATGAAATGAGTAGCGAGGAATCGCAATTAACTCTTTCGTTTAAGTGATCGCTTAGTTAATTGATGAGTAATATGCTAATAATTTCGCTGGTACTGCTTAAGACAGAGAGAATATATACCAAGATCTTATGAATGGCAATATAGACTCCTTTATTAGAATTATCAAAAATTTTTTTCATAGCGAATCAATGAGAGACCTGCAAACTCTCAATAAACGCATATTAAAAATAGCTCTTTTGGCTTTCATTCCATTTTATGGTCAAGTTTCTGAAATTTGTCTCATGGCAGACTCGAGAAGACTTTATGGTAGAGGGCATTATAAATTTTCTGATCTCTTTGTTGCCAAATGTTCACTTTTGGATACCTAGACTCTGAGTATTGTTGTAGAGCTTAAGCTTTTTTCACTCTTAGATCTATTAAGCAGAAATACTGGATCTTGGCGTTTTAACTTCACTGCGTCCTAGTTGAATAGTTTCAACCAAAGCCTCAAATTAGAAGAAGAAAAGGCGTTGCTAAAGAGGAAATATATCTCCTACAACAAGGCAGAGATAACGACAATAGGTGATGTATTGAATGGTATAATCGTACAGCTAAAAGAATATATGTTAATAATTGCGATAGGCCTATAGAAGCTATCAGACGCCACTAAATTTTCAGGTGTTAATGATACACATGTTGGAGTAATCAATAGGAATGGGAGATTTCTAGACAGATATGTTATTTTGGCTGTTAGTACTTACCATTTTATAGTACGTAAATTAGACAGAATTTCTACGAATATATGCTATTATATATCGCAATCTTAATTATAATGTTTTCTGAATTTCTATTCTGCATACTATTGGATTGGCCATGTGTTAGTTATTGAATAAAAATTGGTAATATACTTTTTTGCAACACATTAATGTCAGAATTAAAACAGTAGTTAGCGATTAAAAATAAAATTTTGCACACTCAATAAACTGGATAAAATTTAATAATAATAATAATAATAATTTATTTATTGCGTGTTCAAAATGTCATGGCTAGAGCCAAAAATTAACAAGATTTATTATGTGCTTATGTCTTGTTGGCCTTTAGCATTAGCATTAGTGTTAAAACCTATAACCATTGGCAGCAGAAATTAGAAGCCTTACTCAGCTATCTGATAATGCCCAAAAGTATTAACAAATTTAACAAAATCAGACAAACTGTACATAAAATTTATAATTATCTGAAGCACATAAAAACAATCATGCATCAGTAATGTTTGAAGACTTTAGATCTATAAGGATTCCTTATATCATTATAGAATCTTTAAAGATCTATAATTTTATGGATTCTTGAAAAATCCTTACAACTCAATAAAATATCTTTAAAGGTTCTATAAAATTACGGATTCTTTAAAGATTTTTAAATAAAAAACCTTAAAAGAATTTTTGTTTTAATCTTTAAGGAATTTTTTAAACTATTTATTTTTAATTTATCTAAAATATTAAAATTTAAAATTTAAAATTGGATACTAAATATGATAATGTTTTATTATTAATGATTGTATATTATATTATTTATAAAAAATTAAAAAAGAAATTTATTTACGAAAAATTCGTTTTCGTAATCAAATCGTTTTACCATATGTATCAAGCCCGCAATAGAATCAAAAGGTATTAAATCATAATGATTTACAAATTTTATATGAGGGCACTCATACATTATAGGATGTCGTTTGGAATGATAATCATACTAATGTACTAAAGCAAGAGATAAAGAAGGTTGATTAGAAAATAATAAAACTTCAATTAGCATTAATACCTGTAAAATTGTAAATTAAATAGTATTTTAATTAATTAAAATATTTCTGTTTAGTATTAGAATTGTAAAAAAATATTTTTTATAAAAACTTACCTTGCCATAACATAATCCATTGTCAGTTAAATAGTCTGTATCACCCATTGCGATTGCTATATCACTGAATCTCGCATAGCCATGAAACTTGCTCGTAGCATATACAATTTCACCATTTGTTAATACTCCATTAGCATAGATCTTTAGATAAATATCTTCATTTGTAAATGCATTAGATATATTATCTAAATATATATCTAAACAAGTAATCAAATGTCTCATTCCTTCAATACACAATTCGTTTATATTTTCTTCATGTTCAAGACTTTCCTGAAGAGCATATATTTTACCAATTGGCAACTTCCAGAGTAATGACTTCATAGAATTTGGTCTTAAATTTAAAGTTGTGGTATTTGTGATTATTTGCCGTCGAATCTATATTTTAAAAATAAAATAAATATGTTAACAATTTTACAAACAATTAAATAATACAATTAAAATATGTTACAATATTACCGTTTTTATCATTTGATTAAGTACATGTTTATCTTTTTTATTAGACATTCTATATGGATTTTTAACCCAATTTTTATGTAATGTTTCATAAGTTTCTGTTGTTAGTCCATTTAGCGCATATAGGATCAAATAGTATGAATGGTATGATATCTCCACATATGAAGTTTCAGTAATTGAAGATTACTAGGTGAAAACTGTGCAAACAGTTTTACAAAATCATTCGACCAATCAATTATTTCATGCTATATAGTATTAATAAAAAAAAGAATAAATTAGTCATTAGAACTAATACTACTAATGCTAACCAACATGATAAATAAAAAACCATATGAATTAAGCACACTAACTTCAAACCCTTTTAAATCATTTTCATTAAATCATTTTTTTCTTGATATAATATACATCTTGATAAATTTAACATAACATTGAATAAGTATTTTGCATGAAATGTTAGGAGGCAGATCGCTATTTGTTTGATGGTTGATTTCATCATCATCTATTGTATATAGCTCATCAAGTATAAATATAATGATTTTCATAACATCTCGCATCTCACCTCCCGTGAATTTTGAACTCTGCTGATACCCTTTTTTTAATATTCTCAAACCATCAAATCGTGTAATAGTAGCTAGCTGATTGTCCATTATACTAAGGATCCGATTGCCACATTGATACATAAGCAAATCTCTTGTATAATCAAACATATATGAAAATAACCCAATTTCTTGTAAATGCATACGATCTAAAGCTGTTGCGTCATATATGTTCATTGTTCTAAAAAAGATTAAAAATATAAGTTAAAATTAATTCAAAAAAAAGAATCATAAATCACATATTACCTAAAATTCCAGAAAAAATTATCATATTCGTGAATAGAATACTTGTTTGCATTATGGGAAAAATTAGCTTCCTGCATATTGGTATGGTTATGCAAATATATCGAATCTTGTTCAATATTCATATTATTTAGTTAATCACCAGGTATAAGACATTTATAACAAGGACATTGTGTGCGATAGGATTTGTAAGTACAGTAAATACTTTGCGTCTCTAAAATATCTGCAAGTATAGTGAATAAATGAATGGTAAAGTGTTCAATATGTCCATTTATTGCCAAGTACACACCATCTTCTTTAAGAAGCGGGCTTAACAAATATTTTAAAGCATGATGTTTTAAATCTCATTGCTTTTGTTTAAATTCTTTTGAGTTTCGCAATTTGTTATCTCAGGTAATCAAATGTGGTAAAAATCTAATAAAAACTTTTGCATCAGGCAAATTACGACACAAAATTGGAATGTTTCCAAGTGTTAAAAAAATAGGATACTCAGATTTCTGACCAAGAGTATCAAGAGTCGTTCCATCAACATGGATCATAACTGCCAGAATTTTGCTAAATGGATTTTGTCGTTCACGTCACCAGTTTGCTGAATTTTGTTCAGAATAAACATGTAAAAATGATCTATCCTAAAATATTAATATTAGTTTCTGAATATTAGATAATAATGAAATACATAACAATTACGATATACTCACATGACCAGATTCCCACTGCTCTTCATAATCAAGAAGAAAGTCTTTACACAAATCAGAATTGGATACCAAACTTTTAATTGCATCGAAGATTGGCCGATATTGTAATTTATAAATTTCTCCTTCAAATATAATAAGGTCTTTTTCTTTAAATTGTAAACCTTTAATATCCATATTATCAATATATACTCGTCCTTTTCTAGTAGATCCAAGAAGTGGGTCAGTACAATATTTTCTAAGTATATGTAACATAGAATCTGCAGCTGCATCAGAAAGACGATATTGTGTTACAGCTGTTATAAACTCTTTATATGTTTCACTTGGCCATATCTGTTCTGAATCAATAAAATTATTCAATTCTTTGTATGCATCAGCTAAACTTACATCACGAAAATCTTCACTGGATGCTGTAGAACAAATGCTTTTACGATTTTGTGGCCAAGTTAATATACTTTCATTCTCATCATTAAAGATGGTCACCATAATTAAAAAAAATGGCGCAATTGAGTTGCAACTTGTGGCGCAATTAAATTTCCTTATGGCGCAATTAAGTTGCAAC